ACACAGTTATTAACACACATCAATGCTACTAACTCCCAAAATCCCTCAAATTCCCTGCAAAATCATATCAATCTTTGAGCAAATGTGCAAGGTGGGTGGCCCAAAGAAAGGGACTCTGGCTTTGCAGGGCAAGAGGGGCTCCTCCTGAACCTCACAGCCAAGCACACCAGCAGGAGAAACCACTCTGGCAAAAAGCAATGCTCTTCTTCAGCCCTACTGGAAGATAGCTCCCTTGCTATCTCACACCAGGGATGAGGCAGAGCACTGATGCAATCACTCACTTGTTCCCAACTCCTCACACTGCGCTGGCATTGCTTTTCACCAGTCCTGTAGACGAATCATCTTTTAGCTGTATCCCCAACCAAAACTGCCAGCTACAAGCCAGCCCTCCACCTCTCATGGAAGTGCCACATGCAACCCTCCCACTGGTGTTACAAGTGGGAAGGATGGAGAAGGTGAAGTAGGATGTAACATCCCTGGAGTCTCCCAAGACAGGAATGAGAAACTGGGATATGGGGAATTGAGGCACAGAATTTTATTTTTTTTTTAAATACTGGTATTTGGAAATCGAAGAAGTCCTCTCTGGCTCTTAATCCCCTCACAGGTTCTAGACCAATCACCTGTGATAACCCTTACCCAACACACTGCCCAGGAGATAACCTGGATAATGTAGTTGAAGAATACAGCAAGACTCCTGCTGTTGTTGGAGATTACACTCTGCTCCAGCAGGGGCCTGTTCTCAATGGCTGCAGGAGCCCTAAGGTCCATCATCCTCCTCCACACAGAGCAGAAGATGACCTCCCTGCAAGGCACCATGGTGTGCCCCAGCAACTCCTACATCCCCTCTCCAGCCTTGCACACGTGAGCTTTTCCTACTCCTTCACCCCAAAGGGGCTGAGATCACATCACCACAGGACTCCAGATACCCCTGCAGTTCCTAGCAGACTGAGAAGCACGGCTCCTTCTCTGCTGCCTCAAGCAGACGAGCAAGAGCTGTACCCACCACTAGCAGAAAATGCTTGAAAACATGCTAATTTGCATGGGAAGCTAAGCTGTTGTCAAATAAATGCCAAATACACACAGGTAAGGAGTTGGTGCCTATCAGTGGTACAACTGTATCCCACACGCACAACTAGAACATCAGGAAGCTGGTACAGCCATGCAGAGAAGCACAGGATACCCCAACCTGACTTCATCTGAAGCAAGTTAGAACAAAACATCTCACTCTGAAGGAAAATCCCCTTCTGTAGACAAGCCACTTTTTAATAATAAGTGCTAAATGGACTATTCAAGCAGGTAATTAATGTTAATTAACATATGTCAGGCCATAAATTGGCTAAATGCACCTCATTTTCCAAGCTTGGTGTGTGGCAATGCTCAGGAAATTGTAACAGAACAATCTGAGTTTGTAGAAGCACAAAAAGAAGAGCAAATAAAAGGTTAAGCATAATCTTCACTTAACTCATGGTGTGCTGAGCCAGCAGTACAGAAAACTGCATGACTATGCACATTACTCGAACACTTCATTTTGCTCCTGAACCGCTGCGCTACGCACATATTGTCAGTCCCAAGAAAAGCCACATCCAAAAAACCCCTGCAGCTCCCTGAGTGCTGCTATCGGCCAGGCCTTTATCGGGATCGTCGCTATGTGCAGGACCTGGATGCACCTTCCGTTCCAGGGCCTGGCCAAGCTGTGCCCCTTTCCAGAGCCAATTTGAGAATAGCAGTTTTCCATGGCAAGGGGAACAAATGGATGTTCAGAGCCTGCCCTTTTCCAGACAGAGTACCCCCAAACGAGGAGGGCCCCTTGCCTCTAATGCAAACTAATATTGCCATTTTGTAATGCTGCCCTCGGGCACATTTTCTGTGACAGACAAAGTAGTACGGCTTTCTTAAAAAGTGAGAGAGAAACAAGAACATGCAGAGACTTTAGTCTAAGTAGCAACTTGCATTAGGAAACACTTTCAGTTTCTCGTTTGGCAATTCGCCACTACACCAAGACTGACTTTAATTGCATTGCAAATAAGAAACAATCCTCACAAAAGATTTTCCATACTTCCACGCAAAATAGCTGGCTGCTAAAAATCTAGTAGGGCACCTTTAGGAGGCTGCCACCTAGAGAAATGCTTTGGCTGCTTATCCTCAGTTTTCCCTATCTCCAAGGCAATCCCCTCGGCTCCCTCTGAAGCCAGCACACCCACTGTGGTTTTCTGGGGTGGTTTCACACTTGTTCACCCCGTCCATCCCAGGCGAGCTGGCTGAAACCCACCCAGCCACTGCAGGAGGGTGCAGGGGGGCTGCCCCAGAACTGCCTACCTTCCACTCCGGGCTGCTACTTTGTCCACATCAGCACAAAGAGCTTTCACAAAACCACACAGCTAACCCTAATCACTCGCCTTTCTAAATGCACCAGCACGTGCCCAGCCTCCCCTAATCTCCCAGGATTACAGCAAAGTAGTGTAGCACCACCAAAATGACCCGAATACAAAATGGCCTCGAGAGTAAGACACCGGTCGCTTCACCAGGACAACACCAAGCACAGGCAGGATGTCCCAGGGCAGGAGTGCCAGGACATTTCTCCTCCCCAGCCTCATAGTCTCAAACAGTGTTTGTTCAAGCCAGTACAATACATCAGATATAGCTGCCACTAAGGTGATTTAATTTTTACTGGCATTAACTGTGTACTTTCAAACACACAGGTAAGAGAAGCCAACCTCTGACTCTCAAGCTTCCTATTTTAAATATGCTCAAATTTTAAATATGTATAAATATTGACACTAATTAATCTATTATAGACAATGTCAATAGCTGCATGACTGTTTTAGGTAACCTTCTGTCTCTGAACAATGGAGGGACATTGATTCCAGCTTTTATCATGCAGTCTACCTGGCGGTGATAACTATCCAGCAATACCACACCATCACTGATTGGAAGTTTTCCATCCACATCAAAAGTTGAGTTTAGCAGAGCCTGTGATTCTTACCAGCTGAAGACATTCACCAAGGTGATGTGTTTATGTCTGCATTTAACAAGTCCTTCAGTAGAGGTGCTCCTCACTGTCACACTGTGGACCGAACAATGTGAGTGACTCTGAGAGAGCTACTTACTCTGACTGCTCTAACAGCTGTCACCTGCCTCCATGAGCCGGGGAAAAGTGAGATCTCTGATGTACATTACAGATATGAAATAACAATATGTGCTAATATCTACATATGGTTTCTTCTGGAAAGTTTAAAAAGTCATTTGTTATTGTGCTACTGCAGTATACTCCTCTTTGATGCAAGACATTTGTTATCTAGTGGTTTCAACCACTGGAACCACACATCTCTTTACACTGCTCAGCACAAAAGTCACTTACAAATGTTTCTGAGTATTTTGTTAAAGCAAACATAGTAAGGCTTTGATCAGGTAAGATGCTTAAGCAGCAAGTTTAAGCACACAAGTAATCCCAGTGAAGTCCCAAGGATCCATTCACATGCTTAAATCCATGCTCTCCTTGGTAGGTCAAAACTTAAAATAATCAGGCTGCAGCTTGTAACTTGAACCCTTCTGTAGAGATGAATAAGGCAACACAAAAATATACTTAAAAAAATATAATAGAAGGCTGAAAAAAATATTCCTACTAGGAGTTAATTGGGAAACAGAACCTTTAAAGAAATAAAAAGAAGTCTATAGGTCAATAGAGGAAAAAAAGAAACTGACACAGACTCCAGTTTTACGTTGCCACTCCTGATAAAGTCATTGTGTGTCAATCCAAGGAAGGAGAAGAAGAAAGAGAATAGTGTTACTTCCTCCTCACATCTTTGCAAGATGATAAAAAGAGTCCGACACATCTTGCGTTATCAGCATCTGGCTAACAGATTTAGACATCTGTCTACATCACTGGCAAATTTCTCAAGCCTTTTCAAGTCTCAGTAATTAGAGAAGAGACTCATGCATTTGCTACACTGAAGGGACTGCAGCCCTTTGGTACATACTGGCCAATGAAACATGATAAGAAATGTACAAAGTTTACAAAAACGTCCCCTTCAAAGTACATACCCCAGCAGCTAGTGTTTATCTTCTATGGGGAAGATGAATAAAACAGGTGGAAAACAGAATAGGCTTCTGATATGAAAAACAATTCAAAGCAAATCAGCTACATTTGAATTTGGGATTTGCTGGTATCTCTGTATAAAGGACAAGATTCATAGTCTTGCCATATCGCTTAACAAAGAGGAAAATAGTCCCCCTAGTGTACTCTCCATGTAGAAAAGACTGTTTCACAAGATAGTGCTGCAAGAAATTACAAAATAACATTGTGGGAAGAGGTATGGAATTACTTAAGCTGTAGTGAAACTGGGCATCTCTACTACGCACACGAATCAAAAGGTTTTCCAGTTTCCTATTTCAAGATTATTGAGGGAAGTGAATGCTTCACCTTAAATACTTGCGAGATAAAACTTGGTTTTTAAGTCAGCACAGTAGTTTTGTGACTGCAGGACTTCAATTGGGTAACAGATACCTGAATGAGGAAAGATCTAGTCATCAAGGAGCTCTGTGGAAGTACCTGGAACAGTTGCCTGGCACAGTGAATTTCACAAGGGTGAAACCAGCTCACCCTTGTATCTGTTCCCCCCTCCGGTAATGATGAACGTAATACCGACCTTTCCTAAGTATTCAAGACAGAAGCCAATACAGGAACATGCATGGAAACCCTCTCCAGTGGTTTGGAAGTGTATGGGATTGTACCAACCGGGGCAGCCCGTGGCACACAGGAGTGTCTGGAGTGTGGCACCTCTGCATCACTGCACCGTACACTACTGCCCTAGTCAGCTCCAGGCACTATTAGGTTAGCCAATGTCCCACCAGGGCCAGGGGGAGGGGGAAGCAAAGGAGATTGTTGGGGGGTGTATTGGGCAAACCTTATCCAAATTACCGGAAACGTAATATATGCCTTCCTAACCACATCTGAAATATTCACTTCTGCTTTAATGCCCTAGGCAGGGAAAGAAAAAAAAAAAGTGATAGTTGTAACTTTAATTTATAGCTCTTAAAATCATTGTTTGAGGAGAATAATCCTGGCTATGTTTACGGATTATGGTGTTCAGCACATCTCGCTGGAAACCGTATTAATATTTCATATACAATAATACATAAGGCAATAAGACCAAGGTATCTTTTTCCCTTTGTTTAAAATAACAATTTTCTCACTCACTGGCAGAGCAGAATATTGTTAAACGGGTTTACTGCCTTCAACAATTAACTTAGCTGTGTAAAAATATCCTAAATTATGATGAAAGCCTTCTAACACAGAAGTATCTTCTGTTCATTTAAAGTCTCGGTGTAACTAGCAATCTGAAGAAGTCTAATGTGAAAAGCTGACATTAATTCCTGAAGAGTTGTATTCATTACCTGTGAAGGAAACAAAGATGACAATTAAGATATAATGTGTTTTAACATCAGGAGACTAAGATGGAGTCCCCGTATAACAGTGTTGCCTCTGCACAAACTAAGCTACTCTCCAGCCAAGAAACTGAAGTAGTCCTCTTCTGAACATATACGCACTTGAAAAAGAAATCCTAGCCTTGCTAAGGAATTACATTTTCCAGTTTTAGATGCCTGGCAGATGATTAGCTCCTGACCTCCCCTTTGCTCCTTCCAGTATGCCCCTACACCCACACACAACAGCACCCACCTTTAGCGTGACCAAATGCCTTACCCTAACTTCAGAGACCGCTCACAATCATTAGAGGCAGAATTTGCTGCTACCAGTGTGCCAGCATCTCCTGAGAAAGGTCATCCTAAAGGCTTGTGAGAAACTTCTGAACTAAATTAAAACAGAAGAATCTCAAGGGATCCAAGTTTTTAACATTTTAATTAGCTCCAAGTACCACTTAATGCTGCTCAGCAAAGGAATCAATATCAAATTAACAGCATAAATTGTCAGAAAAACTGTGACGGTATTAAGGATACTAATCAATGTAAGCACTTCATATTATGGCCCAGATTCTGCTTCTGCAAAAGTGAAAAGGAGTTTTGCCACCAAATTCAAAACAGTGTCAGCCCCATTGTTAGCTAAATCTTCATCTGAATCAGATACTGAGAATTTACTGAAAATTCAAAGTACCAGATAAAAATGCTAGATTTGTCATAAGAACTGACATCTAAAGCCACTGCTTCTGTGTGAAACCAAACAACTCATGAAGGCACAGGCTGTCACTGGAAGATGTAACCCTTTATCACACTCTGCGTCACACTTGTAAAGTCAGATCAAAATTCAACACCTAATACAGACACAAAAGCTGTAAAAAGAATGTGTGGTTTTAAAAGCCTTGTCTTCAACTAGCTACGCCAGAGATAAACTTTGTGTTTGTATTTTCCCCAGTCTGAGACAAGTCTGTCAACTAAATGCTTCCTCTCCTGTGTTTCATTTGGAAGGTAAAAATCATACAGCCGCACTTCAAGTCCTAGCAGCAAGTCCTACTCAGGCACCAAAATATAAGACAGGGCTGCTAGTACAGAAACTGCCAGAAATGTTTCATCTATACAGTATTTCTGACCAATTTGTATACTGAAAGTTATCACCTGGTCCAAACCTAGGTAGATTCAAAGAGAAAATTTAATTTCTCTGTAAAAGCATTGAACTTGCTGGCAAATTCACCTTCAGCCATCCATACAAAAACTCAGCGTCAGATGCCGCTAGTATCGGCCCTCAGCAGCAACTGAACCTTGCCGGGATTTCCTTCTGCAAACAGCGTCGGCGTCAAGCAGCACCTGCATTTCTGTACAGCTGCAAGTACGTGACATTTTGGCATCCAACAGACGCTGACAGATGAACAGGAAAAAGAGAAGAAAAAAAAAAAAAAAAAAGCAGTTCTGGAAATCACTTCAAATGTGCTTTACGTGCAGTTCTGGCTCCTGGTAGGCCTTATAAGACTCTTTCTTGAGGGTCAAACCCTGCCTGCCTGCAACGTGCTTTTGCACGCGCTGAGTAAACAAGCCACAAAACCAAATTATTTTTTTTTTCCCCCCTGACTTATTAAAACGGTAGTACTCTTAGCTGCTCACTGTCGCAGTGCTGGACAGAAAATGCTGGGCTATCAGTAGACGGTGCTCTCATACACTGGAAACGCAGGAATCACAAACCAAGCATTCCAGGGGCTGAACAGCCAATAACTCCATGCTTTGATTAACTTTATGAAGAAATGTCAAAACCCGAATTTCCCTCTACTGCCTTTGAGGAACACATGGGCAAAAAACTGGGGGTTTCCTTGACAAAAATAATAAAGTCGTTCTGTATTTGAGCTTTGAGACTGACCATACATAAAAGCAATTCTGCTCGTTTCCAGCATAAGTTACCTCTAGTGTTACCATAACTTTAAAAAAAAAAAAGGCAAAACAAAACCCACACACTTTATAAATATTTTTCCTTTTGCTTTCTCTCTCTCCCTCTCTCTTTCCCTACTTATGTGCTGGTACATCACAAAAGCCAACTCCGCTCCAGCGTGTACTCTGCCCCCAGAGTCAATAGCCCTCACCGCCTGTACACAGCAACAGGAAAGACACAAAACTTTCCTTAATCTCCCTCTTAAAAAAAAAAAAAAAAAAAAAAAAAAAAAGCAAAGCAGACAGGGCGACCACCATCACCACGACCAGCACCAGCGGGCTGCTGTCGGGGCGAGCCGCCAGCACCCCGCTCGCGGCCGCATCCTCTGCGGGCAGCCCGCCCGTCGGGGCACCGCGGCGGGAGCGCCGCGGCCCCGGGATCCCGCCTCACCTTCCAGCCGGCCGAGCTGTTGCTGTCGCCCTTGTCCTTGAAGTAGGGCACGCAGCGGACCATCCAGTCGTAGATCTGGGAGAGAGTGAGGCGCTTCTCCGGGGAGCTCTCGATGGCGCGGGTGATGAGGTCGGCGTAGGAGAGGTTGCCCCACGCGTTGCGCCGCGACGAGCACTTCCTCGGCGCCGCCGCCGGGCCCCCGCTCAGCCCCCCGCCGCCTGCCGCCGCCGCCGCTCCCCCCGGCGAGAGGCTCGGCCCCTCCGGGCCGCCGCCGGGCAGCGGGGCCAGCAGCCGCGCCGCCTCCTCCGGCACGGCGGTGGTCGCCGCCGCCGCTGCTTCTCCGCCCGCAGGGGCCGCGCTGCCGACGGTCATGGCCGAGCCGCCCCCCTCCTCCTCGTCGTCCTCCTCCTCGGGGATCATGGAGGCGGCGTCGGCGGTCGACTCGCCGGCGGGCTTGGCTGGGCTGGCCTGCAGCTCGGGCCTCTGCAGGGGCCAGGTGCAGGAGCGGGGGCGGCTCTGCGGCTCGAACTCGGGGTCCAGCTCCACGTCCAGGGGCGAGAGCGGGGCGGGGGGCGACGCCTCTGCCATCTTGGCCTCCCCCGCGGGCGGCTGCGGGGCGCTGCGACGGGGCGGGCGGGCGGCCGCCGACCCCGCTCCTCCTCCGCCGCCTCCTCGGTGCCGACGGGAGCCTAGCAAGCGGGGGGCTGCCGGGCGGGCATGCCGCGCTCCGCTAAGGGCTGGCCGGCTCTCCGCTGCGCCCCGAGCTCCGCTCCCCGCGGGCGATGCGCACGCCGGAGCTGGGAGGCGGGGGGAGAAGGGGAGGGAGGGGAAAAAAAAAAAATCAGATTAGGAGCCGGAGCGGCCGCGCAGGGCGGCAGCACGGGCCGGGCGGTGCCGGAGGTGCCCGCGGCGCTGCTCTTCGCGCCGGCGGAGCGGCGGCCGCTCCCGCGGTGCGTGTGTGCGTTTGTTTATGTTTCACTCCATGCGGATGCCGAAGTAGCTCCAGCGGGAACCGCGCTATATCCAGCCGGGAGAGGACCCCCTCACGCCCCCGGCCCCTCCGAGCTCGCTCCTCGTCGCTTCCGCAGATATCTTGCCTTTTGCGGGGGGGGGGTGGTCCTTCGCGCCCTCCGTCGGCAGGAGGGCAGGGAGAGCAGTCCTTTGGGTTACGCCGAAGACTTTTTCCTTCTTCAAAACGCCCTAAAGGGAGCCGAAGTCTTAGCATACATCCAACTGCACACCAACGTAAACCTGTCACTTTGCGGTGCCCCAAAGCCACGCGCAAGCAACCCCCCAAAATCTCACAGCTGACGGACCAGGGGGCAGGAGAAGGCCACCCCGGGGGCTGGTCGGTTAAAAAAAAATAGTAATAAATCCTCCTTCTTGCAGGGAAAAAGCAAACACAACGGGAACAAATCAAATCGCCAGTCTTCCAACAGGTCCAGTAGCTTTAAGCCCTCCCTAGGGCTGCCAAAGAGAATAGGTTTTGTTCCAGCATCAACACCACATTCATAACCTCCTTGCTCCTGCTGCTGCCATCTTGACAGTTTTTCCCCCCTTCACTTAAGTCATTTAAAAAGCGCAGGCAGACGAGGCAGGGAAAGCCACATCGGGAGGGGCGGGAGGCGGCGGGGGGGTGCTGGATCGAGAGCCACCTCCACAACCGGCAGCAATCGAGATCCGAATTCACGGGAGGAAGAAGCAGCGCTGCTGCATGGTTCCTGCTGCTCCTGCGCCTTCAGCTCCAGAGAGCCTTCCCTTTAAAGGCGAAGGATGGGAAAACGGCAGAGCGCCCGCTCCCCCTGCGAGCAGCCGGCGAGAGGCAAGCGATCCGCCCGCGCCCAGCCCGTCCGCCGCCGCAGCCCGCCCGAGCAGCCTGTCACCCTGCTCGCCGCCGACTTCCACATCCCTCCTCCTAACAACCACCGGCAGCAACACAAAGTTATAGACACACGCAGGGAGACTCAACCAAACCGCACGGCTCGGCACGGCCCGCCCACGGGCGGGCGGAGGGCGGGCGGTGCCGCGCAGGAGCCGCCCCAGCGGGGCGGGAGCGCCGGGATGGGGGGAGCCGGACGGGCTGGAGAAGCTGCCGGCACCTGGCAAGGGCAGCGCTTTCCTGCTCACCGTCCCTGCGGCTCCAGAGCCCTGTCCGGCCGGTGCGGTGGAAAGCGCTCAAGCCTCTCCCAGTACCCGGTAAATCTTTCCAAGGGTTGTATTAGCCCTGTTTCTTTTCCGTACTTGTTTTCATTGGTCATAAATTATTGGTGCACAAGCTATTCTGGTAAACTTTAAAATATAGATTCTAATTTAGTAATTCTTTGAAAACTTTCACTCTTCTTGTGGGTGATGCCAGGAACATGTTCAGACATGTCCACACGTGAATACAGTCCCGCTGTTCCTCCTCCTTGAAGGTTAAAATATAGATTCTAATTTAGTAATTCTTTGAAAACTTTCACTCTTCTTGTGGGTGATGCCAGGAACATGTCCACACGTGAATACAGTCCCACTGTTCCTCCTCCTTGAAGTCCATGCCCTAGCAGAAAGCCCTCCAAAGTAGCTCACTTGAAGATGTTGTTAATTATGGGTTGAATAAAGGGGTGGCCCACAAAACCAGAGAACATAAGAGCTACTAATATGGATGTAGTTATAAATACTTCACATGGCAACTTCTATGTATCAGTTCTCACCTGGCTTGATAACGACCTAGACTGTGGACGAGATTTAGTCCAACAGTAGCATTGGCTCTGAGACAAGATACAGACAATAGCATGGACTGAGAAGCAGTGTGCTTCTGAAGCTTTGCTGGAAAGAATGAGCAGACAAATTAAACTATTCCTAATGAATTGCATTATAGACAAGTAGAGAGATTTGAGAACCATTCAATTTTAGAATTAGAAAATATCAAGGCCTTACACTGCTGCTAAGTAGGGCCTAAGGCCCTAAGGGTCTAGGTAGGTTTTGAATTCAAACACCACTGAAGTTAGGAATAATTTAGTGTGATTTTATTACAAGGGACAGCATTTCAGTATGCATACAATTAACCCCTGGTTATCTAAATATACCAGGAGACACTGAATTAATCAGAATGAATGCAGGTTCGAGTAATGTAAACAATTTCACTGCAACTCCATTTTGGGTCACAATGTTGAGTGCCTTGCCATGGCTTTTGTTGTAACATGGTCCCTACAGGAACACAAGACAGCTCAAAAAGACACCAGCCACTCTGCAGTTGTGACACCGGCATTCATGTATATGATATGATGAGCAGTTAGGAGGGAGGAAAACCACAGTGGCATTGAAGAGCCAGCCACCAAGTTCAGACAAATAGGCATGGTGAGAAGACGCTTAGTCCAACACCACATCTCCAAGGAGGCTTTTCTTGTGGCTTTCAGCAGTTAGCCATAGAAGGCCGCCTGCAAAACTGTGACTGGTGCTCAGCCCTTTCCCAAAACTAGCTACTGCTTGGGGCTGATTTTGATCACTGCAGAAACCTCCACATGGAGCGCATCCTGACGTTCCAGGGAAGCATAACACTTTGACCTTGGGCTGGGTTGCAAGCAGCAAATCTAGCCCTAAATGATATTATCATCTTCATTTATTTATTTAATTGGCATTGCATTACTCTACAGGCACTGCTATTAGGTCTCATTGCACTGGATGAAGGCCCTGCACGTGGTAAGAAATGCTCCACTCCCTGGCAGAATTGCAGTCTAAGTGAGGCAGAAGAGGGCGGGAGAAAGGAAATAAGTAAGTAGTAACCCTATTAAAAAGATGATGGACTGAGGCACTGAACAATTACATGACTGTACTGAGGTCATACAGGAAGCCCATGCCAGAACTGAGAAATAAAACTGGATCACCTGAGTGCCAGCCTTGAGCAAGATTATCTGTCCTCTTCAGAATTCACTGGTGTATCAGTTGCATGGCCTTTATCATACGTCATGGTACCAGTTCTTCACAGCTCCATGCACCACGTGTGTGCCCATGATAATGCAGTTTAGGGGCATAAATAAAACCACAGTATAATTTTTCCTACAGGTCTTGCTTATTAAAAGTGTATGAGCAAAACAGAAAGACACAGGAGCTCTGCTTATTGTGGTTCCATGGCTGGGCCCACTGAAATACACATAAAAACTGATCAAAATTGAATCTAAAGCCTTCACAAGTTTCAGTCTCTTCCTTTAAGTACTTTCATGCCCCAAGGGTGGGATTTTCCAAAAGGCTCCATTTATGGGAGTTTTATCACTGACTTCAACAGGAATAAAGTTAGGCCAGCCCTCAGGCCATTTGAAAGCCAGCTCACTTACTTTGCCTACTTAGACTGCGAGTGTTTTAGGGCAGGGCTGCGTCTTCCTCTGCCTCTCCTTTTATCTACTATGGGCGCTCAAGCTGATGTGGGGAACCTGTGCCTATCACGGTGTCTGGTTATATGGATCTGGCAGGGTCACAGTCACATGGCAGCTAGAGAAGTGCAGGTGACATTTCTGGCTTCACCTCTCACACAAATATCTTAACTGCACAAGCAGGGTTGGAGATAAAGTTGCATGGGGGGCGGGAGACCTGGAATTTCTTGTCAGTACAGCATTATGGACATCTCCTGTGAAGTGTACTGCCGCTCAATAAATGAATGTTGTATTGCACTTACGTTAAACAAAGGCTGCATTGTCTACGTGGACCTCACACAAACAAGCATATCATGGGTTGTTTAGCAAGGCACCTGCAGCCTGGTCTCTGAGCAGTTTGTCCCCTGCAATAACCCTGTGCACCCCTCCCATTCACACCGTGAGAGAGTGGCTCCCTTAGTGTGTTTTTGTTCTTCCCACAGTTCCCTACCGTGTCCTTTAAACACAGACTGGGCAACAGGCAATAGGCTGTGGCTGATTCAGAGCAACCCGGATGCTGATGATTAGGAAGAAATGTCATTTATAAACCAGCCAAACTCATGCCCTGAGACTTTAACTTTTTGGCTAAAACTGGCTAATGGGTTTCGCAGTTCTTATGGAAAGATGGGCTGACTGGCAGACACAGAACAAGGGTCCAAATTGTGCCATGGAAACTTGATGGGTTTGCCAAAGATGGCCACAGATTTCTAACTATAAAATTTTCCCTGAAGTGATGAACAGCAATTTAAAGATCGCTTCAAGTTGGACTCTCAGCATTATTTATGAGGCCTGCAATAGTGGTATTTCCCTGATATCCCCCTTCTTAATGTCCCATTGGAGGAGCATCTCAGCTTCCCCTTTAAACCAACAGCCAAAATCTTGATGTGCCATGGATGTGACTCAAATATGCTTTGAGGGCTAGGAAGAAAGGTTAAGAGATGGGGAAAAAGCAAAATCTAATTGCATATTTTAACCTGCTCTTTAGGCTGACATTGCTCAAAAGCTTGCTTCATAATTTTTAAATACTTGGGGGTACATGAGTTTATACCGTTAGGATGCAGTCAAATTGCTGAGATACAGCAAAAAATTCCACTTTTTTATTATTATTAAGCTTGGATTATATGAAAGAATTTTGACTTGTAAAGATAGACAGCTCTCTCCCTTAGCTTGGGCTGGTCCGAGTGACCAAACGCCGTTCTGCCCCGCCACTGACTCGTTGTGCAACGCGGCCGTGTCCACTTAAGCCTGTCTCGGTTACCCCACGTGGGTTAATTAGACCCACTTATCGCTTAATTGCTCCATCATTATAACTTAACACCTTCCTGCTCCCACACAGCGCGGGGAGGGGGAGCGGCGCCGCTGGCCCCGCCCCCACCGCGGTCCCGCCCCCACCAAGCTAGGCTGCGCCGTGCGAACTGAATGATGTCATGCTCCGGGGCCGCGCGTGACCGCCGGGGCCCGCCCTCGCCGCCCATTGGTCGCAGCCCGTCGCCCGTCAGGCCAGCGACGCCTCCCATTGGCCGGCGCCTCCGCCCCGCCGCCGCCCCTCGGAAAATAATAAACAATCGAGTAAAATGCGGCGCGGGGCGGGGGTCCGGGCGGGCTCCGCGCCCCTCGCGCCGGGCGCTGCCTGCAGCCCTGCCGCCAGAAAAGCCTTTCCTGAAGGTGCCGTGGCGCTCGCACGGAAATTGCCTTCAGCCAGAAGCTACTGCTGCACCGAGGACCAAGCAAAGCCATCTCTCGGCTTTCCCCGATCCCCTTGTCTCAAAGCTAAGTTGTGCCAGGCTGCAGGTGCCCTACAGATGTGGGTTCGAGGCGGTGGAGAGCTGTGTGCGGTGGGACGGGAAGGGACTGGGTGGGTACGTGTCTGGCAGCCAGGTGTGCCATTCCAGTGTGCCAAATGCCTAGAGGCAGGGCACCGACAGGGAGACCTGTAAGCCACACCTCTGAAACAATGTCAGTGTCGGCTGTCTTCACGGGACAAAAACGTCCCCGAGGTGACCGTCCTGTCCGCATGGTGCTGGGCAGAGATGCATCCTCAATCCTTGCTTCGTTGTGGTGGTGCCTACACAGCACAGCCCCAAAATAACTACCTCTCACAGCCCTGCTTCCCTCTACCTGCAAACAGAAGGCGCGCTTGTACAGCAGGGGATTTAATCGGGGATCAGGTGACGAGAATGACGGCTGCGGGAAAGGATTTACTTTTTGTCGGGCTCGCAGCCTGGCCTCTCCTTTTGACAGCAGGTGCCCAATACGGCCTATTTCGCTTCCTCCAAAGAATTAATTATTTTCTCCCGTACGTGGCCCCTGGAGGAAGAAGTCTAAGCACCTCCCTCATGCTGTCATCCTGTATTTCCAGTGATCAGAGCACTTGTTCAGGAGCTGAAGATGTGGCTCCTGGTCCTCTTCCCAGGACTTTGTGTTTTCTTCTCTGACAGATGTTTGATGTAAAGTACATAGAGCACACTTTCAAAAGGGGACTGAAATCCAAGGCTGCTCCCCTCCCTTCCCTATGGCAATGTTATTATTGCTGGGTCATGGCCTCTCCTTGATTGCTCCCGTGAATCCCGAAGCCCCACCCTCTCCCCCAAGCAGCAATACGGGTTCAACAGGCTGGTTGGAAATGGAGTGCGTGTCAGGCTAGCCTGCGTCCCTGGTAAAATACTCTTCGGGAAGGTCAGAGCCAGGCATCTGAACCCCGGCGGGCAGAAGGAGAAAATGACCTCGTGTTCCTGGTGTGAGGGGCACTGCAAGGCACACAGGGGGAAGGAAATCTCCCCCGGGGAGTTGAGGAAGGGTTCAAAGGGGCCGGTGAAGTGTTAAGCAAAAGCAGTCAGCGGCTTAGCACATGGTGGAGAAGTCGACTATAAGCATTTGCAGCTGGTTCTCTCTCTCCTGCCTCGGAGGAACTGGGTAACTGCTGACTCAGGGGCTGCATCGAGTCGGAGGAATGGGAAGGGGCTCATGTTTCCCGAGTGCCTGTATGCGCCGCAGAGCGATGGGATAGCGCCGGGCACCTCCTACCTGCTGTCCCGTCTTGGAAAAGCGATGCCAGCAGCGTGCTCTAAGAAGCCAGAGCCTGTTGGTATGTGTTGGATGTGCTCTGAGCAGGCTGCGCAGCCGGGGCCGTGGGTCTCGTCTTGCATGGAAACGTGTCCGAGCCACGAATTCCAGCGCTGGGTCCGGGGGAAAATTGGCACAGAGCTGCCCAACATGGGGTGGTTGTGTGTATGTGAAAGGCAGAATATCCTGTATCGTGAGATGCTGACAACCTAAAAATAGGACTTTATTGCCTCCAGGATTAGGCATCTAATTAGGAGCAGGGAATTTTGGGAGGACAGTTCTGAACTTTAATGCCTCGGTTCTGCCCCAGTACTGTTCTGCTGTTCAAGACTTTACATTCCTTGCAGTTCATGTGAGCGTCACTCAAACATGCCCAGGGCGTGCAGTTATAGCAACTGCCCTGAAAAATCTTCCTGGAATCTGAAAAGTTGAATTCTTCCGTTTGCACACACCCTTGCCTGCCTTGCAAAATAATTTCCTTCAGTTTAGCAAACCAAAACTTCAACTGAAGTAATTCACTGCCAGTTTACCTATGGAGAGGCAATGACAGCAAGAGTGAGACCTAATATTTTGTTCGTTTTTAAATTTTTTTTTTTTTTGGGTACCATTTCAGTGAGCCCATCTAATTGAATACATGCTAATCTGCTAAAGAGCTTGCTGCTTCTAAATACTGTAGCTACTCTTCATAATAGGCATATCTAGTTTAAAATATAAATAGAGGTATTATAAACCTTGTTTAGCCAAAATGGACTTTTTTCCTTGGAAGTAAACAGGGAAAACTGGGGGAGGAACTCTAGCTGAGGTCTGACAGATGTTCAAGTATGTGAAGCTTAAAGAAGAACGTGTGCTATTCAGTTTGCTCACGGAGCCTTTGTGACCTGTGTCTTCGCAGTAATGATGACACAAGCTTTTTTGAATAAAAGGAAGAAATTAACTGCCGTGGCTAATTGCACCCTTGCTAGCTTGCTAACCAAGGACACCATTTGACTGTGAAAATTGTTGGTGTACCCAAATCTCTCAGCTGGAGAGAATATCCAAAGTGAGAGTGTTCCCATGTCTGTGGGTTAGAAGGGCTATTTAAAAAACTTCCTTTAATTGGAAAATTAAACACTATTGCTTTAAAACAGTGGTGCACTGCTTTAAAAAATTAAGATCATATGGAATCATTTATTGTTTTTCAATATGTATTCAGTCTCTGGTGCAATTTTATGTCCTCGCTAATGGATAAAGTCTTTTGGAGCAGGAATAAAGCACCACAAAGCATGATTTAATGCTGTAGGGTCACCAGATCTGTTTCACATTACTGGATGTTTCAATCTGCTGAAAAGAAGGGGCTGTCCCTGAACCAACGAAACAATGATGGGGAAGTGGGGGGGAAGCCCATCAATCTGAAACACTTTGGAAACATAGTGCACATATCAAGAAAAACTTTTAAAGGATTCAGTGGGGATTTGGCTGCATAAGAGATTAAAATTATGTAAATTTATATTAAGAACAGGAAAGTTAAAGTATTAATAGTACAATATTTGGTTGCAGTTTAAGGTGTCTTAATAAATCATGTTTTCAAACAGTACAGGCCTACATAAGCATGTGACTGTAAGAGAAAATAAGAGCAAGTAATCCGGGAGTGCACAAAAAACAAAAGTGCTTTTGTTTTTAGTTCTGTGGTCACTGGAAGTGCCTATTCTTGTGCTTATTCACAAACACCTCTGGCTCCTTCTTCCAGAAATCCTATCCAAACGTTTTTGTTCTGACTTCGTTAGAGGACTTTGTGCTTCGGTTCTTTTCATATGACTTGTTCAGGGTTCAGTCTTACAATGCCTTTCCTCTGGCAAGGGACTGAGATGGGTCCGATGCCTTCGCTGCCTTCTTTTTTTGGTTGTTTGTTGTTTGTTTTTTTTTTGCCTTTTGCCTTCTTTTTCCCCCCCAGAATGACAAGCTGTGGGGCAATTTTTGCTCTCAGGGCCTGGGCATTTCCCTTTCACTGGTTCAGCAGGGATCAACAAGAAGAGGCCAAGTCTGACAAGTAAACCATGCATGGTTTGAGCCACCTGGCAATGAACTCTGCAGGCATGGGAGGCAACCTTTCTGTTTTTATCGTGAACCTCAGAGAAGTATAACTGGCTGGCTAGTTATAATTTGACAGAAACCCCACTTTTCATCTTGCTGTGGTGGTATGCTTTCTTTTAAATGTCATCTGTAGAGTCTCCCAGTGAATGGGAACTTCAGTTTTGCTTTGTATTTCCTACAGATACTGACAAAAACTAGTCCACCACATTACTGAATAAGAGCCGTATTTCTTCTTAGAGGCCTAAGCACACTAAAAAGAGTTTGCAGTAACTTTAATACTTCAATCAAAATATTTTTCACTACATATTTGTCATTTATAACCAATAGAATAATTGACTGGGTTTTTTATTAATTTTGAAATCTTATATTTCCAGCTTTATTAAGCAAGTAAATTAATCTTCAGCTTTCCTGTAGCACTGGAGCTTGTTCATCATGGCTGTGCCTTCCATCATTCTTTGGTAATAGATAGTAGTAATTTCAAGTAAGTTCAGCTCTTTTGTTGAAAATAAACAGAGTATGCATGTGTCTTCTGGATCAGCCCCTTAATGTGACCTCTCCTGTCTGCTCAAATTATAGTATCAAAATAAAAATCTTCAGAAAAATTTGAGCCAATTGAATGAATACATCATCAGTATTAAAACCAATACCATGAGGAATTATTGCTGTCTTCAATTAACTTTTGCCTAGATCCTGTATCTTAGCCATTGGAAAATCTTAAATAAAGTCCTCTTTAAAGTCCTTTCAAGCTTTTTCAAAAACAGTTATCAGTTTAGGCATATATTCCTACTTTAACTTGTGTGTATGTTTGTTAAGACTATTGCTTGTCTGTAGATGGCAATAGCATTACAGTGCTGAAGTAGCCCCCAGCCTGTAAAATAAGGCTGTGATGCTGGTGAGCATTAACTTTGAGAATGAAGAGAAAAAAAATCTTGCCTTTTTCTTTTCTGTTTGTTTTGTTTGTTTGTTTGTTTAATGTCTGCAGCAGTGGCAATGGGGACTGTTCTACTTGCAGGAATGTTGGGACTAATCATGTGAGAAAAGATCCTGGAGTGATGAGGCAGCATATTTCCCATGTCTGAGGTCAGGATTTGTTCTGTGAAGCTGACCTTTAAAACAGCCTGAAAATGAGGAACGTGGCACCAGAGAGCAGAGCAGGAAGCCTGAAATTATGTAAGATATGTTTCTTCTGCATATGAAATACTTTTTTTTTTTTTTTTTAAACTCCAGGTTTGTGATTCAGCATTTTCTGCCACTGAGAGATACAAGAAAGGGGAAAAATCTGTAGCAAAAAAAGAGTGCCTATTGTTCTAATCAAAACCTAATAAAATATTAGCCATCAGGTATTTTTGTTCCCTTCTGATGAACTGGGGTTGAGATTATATTTTTCCAAAATCACTCTCCCCTCAGCCTCCTGATCTGAGAACTCTGGAACTGAAGACAAAGTTTTATTTGGGCACAGCCTGGGCACCTTTTCTATATATAATCTGTGTGAAGTGCCTCCAGCTTTGTTGGCTTTGAATTCCTGGGTGACTGCTGTTTCAGCTCTGCCAAGCAACTGCAGGACAGGCCTGTGATGAGGAAGCTCCAGGGTGCTGGTGCCCAATGGATGTTTGGTGCAGGACAGGCAGGTCAGGGAGCCCCCAGGGCTAAAGCATCAACCTTGGGTGAGGTTGCCAGCCTGGGTTTGATCCCAGCTGCATGGTGATGCAAGCCCTAGACACAAGATCTCCTCTCTGAGCTTATGCAAAAGTGCCTTCACTGCCTTTTTCACCTTCTTGCCTTTTCGCCCTGTGCTCTTTCCCTTGCTGAGACGCATGAGGTTGCATTGAGAGGTTTGATGCAGCTGCTGGATGCCCCAGCCTGTTGCTGCCTCCCTGATCTTAGAAATGCTGCTGACCTGTTTGGAAGGAGAAAATGAGGGAGCCTTTTCATCCTTCTCCCTCCTTGGAGACTGATTCTGTGTTAAGATGGCATTTACCTCTCTTGATAAAGGAGGTGGCAGTGGTGTAGAGCACTCCCAGATAGTGGAGCTCAGCTGGGTCCCTGGCACAGTGTTGGCCTCAGGATACTAGCAGTTTCCCAAACAATTCCCAGGTATGGGCATAAAAAGTCTGCAGTCACTACCCTTTGATGGGTAAGAGGGTTTAACAGCCTGTACACAGCTAGTCTGTGCCCACTGGCTCGTTTATCCCTATGGATGTGGTCTGGGTGTGCCTGGGGCGATCTGTGCTCAGAACAGAACCCTGCACAGGGGCAGCCTTGCTTCCCAGTGTTGAATTATGTCACAGGGAAGAAGGAAGACAGCTTTGTCATGCTTTCCCTTTACCTGCTGAGATGGCAGCAGCAGCAGAGGCAACTGATGGCTCTTTTTTGGTTGCTCCAAATGCCAGACAGAAGGAAGCAGGCTTGCATCTGCCTCAGACTCTGAATAGATTTTTTTTTTTTTTTTTTTGTTTAAGAGTCCTAAGGGAGAAGCAAATGGATATAAGCACGTACTGTATTTGTGAGACCAGCACTGGGATGGCCTGCATGTTATAAATTGATGTTGAAAAATGGGCTGTGGAACATTAGAGCCACACAAAATGATTCAGAGCCTGAAGAAAATGCTTTGCAATGGGAGACATGAAGCACTTTGTCTCTTTAGTTTATCAAAAAAGGCTGAGCAGAGAATTGATTATGATGGTGAAGGAACTTCCTTGGAAGAAAAATATCAGGTACTGAAAGGCTCTTTAATCTAGTAAATTATGGGAATGTGTTTCAGCAAGCTGAAATCAGATACATTCATGTGAAAAACTGGTCACAAATTTATTGGAATGAAGGTGGTTAATCACCATAACAAGCTGTCAGGGTAGTTGGAACATTTTCCAGATGTGCCCAAGCCAAGACAGGCCTGTTTCTGAAGGGTGTGCACTAACCACAGTTAAAAGCATGAGGGACACTGCAGTCAAGTCTCAGGCAAGGTAAACAGGTGAGGTTTGAAGGACTGTGATGTGTGACAGGCTTGACTAACAGCTCCCAAAGGAGCTGTGAAGATCTAATGGTTCCCATCTGTCCTTAACCTCCCAGAGACTGAGAAAAACAGCACTTAGCAGAAAGTGGAAGGCAGGAATCAGAATGACAGCCTCATTGCTGGCACACTCCTGTGACCTCTGTTTCTGGAAGGACTGAGTCTTTCACCTGCTTGGGGCTTTGCTAATGTTTGCTCTACTGCCAACACAAGAACAACCTCTCTCCAGTCTGCAAGCTCTCTGTACAGATTGGCATCAGCACCTTTCATTTTAGGAGAGCATGAGTAAAAATTTGTCGTGCTTGGCAGCTCAGTGGTAGCTAGGATAAGTAGTTTCCTTTTTCAATTTTTTTTTTTTAATTCCATCTTCACAAGCTTTGGTCTTGCTTGTTCTTCACACCTCCTAGTTTCCCTAGTATTTCCTTGTATTGCCTTTGCCACCAGGCTCAGTGTATTTTCCTGCACTGGTAATCTGTGGTGCAGGATGTCTTGGAGGGTGCTTCCTACCTCTAATTTGACAAAATAAACCCTGTCTTTCTTGCACAGATTTACATGGGATGGGTATGTCAGTGATGTGCTGTGTAGACAAGAGCTTGTCAGGAACTTTTAAATGAAGTACCTTTCATCCAGAAGTACAAGTTTGTATCTGCTGTAGCTATTGACAGAAACACATTAAGGTGTCTTTGCAAAATACCTGCAGTCTGTATCTCGAGAAGTGCCCTAATCTAATTTTAAAAACAAGGCTCTTTTTCCAGAAAACCATTTGGTGGTGGAAATCAGGAATTTCTTATCTCCTGTTGCCTTTTCTGGGGTCCCAGTGCTTTTACACTTATTGCCCATCTGCCAGGGATGATGCAAGTATTTTATACTCTCAAGCCCTAAGACAAGTTTGCTCACTTTTTCCTTGCTCCAAAGGGCAAGGTACAAAGTCACAGCTGAAACAAGGCAAGCGATTTCCACACAGCATCCCTATCTTCAAATTGGAGAGGCACGGATTTGAAAGGTGGACTGTTTGGTAGATAAGGCATTGACTGGATGGATGCAGCCAGAGAGTTGAGGTCAAAGATTCTATGCCTAGGTAGAGGCTGGTGCAGAGTAGTGTCCCTCGAGGCTCTGTCTCTTTAGTATCTTTATTCATGACAGTAGGACCAAGTGCACCCTCAGCAAGTTTGCAGATGGCATAAAGCTGAGCGATGCAGTTGGCACAACAGAGAGAAGAGATGCCATCTAGGGGAGGCTGGACAAACCGGAGAAGTGGGTGCATGAGAACTTCCTGAGGTTCAACAAGTGCAAGGTGCTGCATCTGCATCAGGGCAATCCCAGACAGTACAGACTGGCAGAAGAACTCGTGTAGATCAGCCCTGTGGAGGACTTTTGGGTTCTCATGGATGAAAAGCTGGACAGGAGCCACAGTGTACACTTGCAACCCAGAAAGCCAAACACATCCTGGGCTGCATCAAGAGGTGTGGCCAGCAGGTCAGGGGAGGTGATTCTGCCCCTTTGCTCTCTGGAGTGCTGCATCCAGCTCTGGGGTTCCCAGCACAAGATGTGAACCTGTGAGAGTGAGCCCAGAGGAGGCCATGAAGATAATCAGAGGGATGGAGCACCTCTCCTGCCCAGACAGGCTGAGTGAGCTGGGATTGCTCTTCTCTTGATGGAGAAGAGGAGGCTACAGGAAGACCTCACTGCAGACTTCCAGTACTTAAAGTGGCTTATAAAAACGAAGGAGAGAGGCTTTTTACATGTAGTGATAAGGCAAGGGGAAACGGTTTTAAGCTTAAAGAGGATAGGTGTAGATTAAATGTTAGGGAGAAATTCTTTACTGTGAGGGTGGTGAGACACTGGAACAGAGAAGGATGAACACTGGAACAAAGAGGATGCCCCATCCCTGGAAGTGCTCAAGGTCAGGATGGAGCTTGAAGCAATCTGATCAAGTGAAAGGTGTTCTGGCCCCTGGCAGGAGCACAGGAACTAGATGATTTTTAAGGTCCCTTCCAACCAAAACCAGTCTATGATTCTATGAATGAAGGGATGGAGTTGTCATGCAGTTGTCATGCAGTTGTTGTCAATACCCACAATCCATTAACCTGGCTAATGGACTCTCTAAACACAGAAGTTAGAGGTAGAGCAGGGTTTTGAACTGACATCTCCAAATAGAGTCCTGAACTTACTTTTGTGCAGGGAAAAAAAAACCTTTGAAAACTAAGAAATGTTGGGTGGCAAGGGGGGTTCTGTTTGTTTTAGATTTGGGTTTTTTTTCGGAGAACGCACAAGAAGTTTTCCAAGTAGTTTTCCTGAAGCCCACATACCTCTGGAAAGTAGCAGAAGTATCTGCATGAGCAAAGAGCTCCAGCACAGGAAAGTACAGAGGATGTAAGAAGAATAGGGGTTTGACTGGAGAGATGGAAGTGGTGAAGTCCTGCAGCCACTGGTAGGCTTTTCTGCAAAGACTGCAGTTGCAAACAGAGCCAGGCAGGAGCTCACTCAGACTTTAAGAAACATTTTGTTTTAGAACTGAAGAACCCATGTTTTAGTCTGAACTGAACTCATGAGTCTAAAACTCCTTTAAATTCTGGATGAATGTTGGTTTTAATCTTGCCCTGTAGCTTGGATCCATTTGTTTAGTCATCGGCCAGATGAAGGTTATTCTTTGTCTCAGAGAAAAGATTTACCTTTGCTGTCTGTCTCAGATTAGCTTACTGTTGTCCCCACAGTTCATCTGCTTTTATATGCATATCCTGTTGCTAAATGTGGATAAAATTAGCAGATAGTCCTTTCACTCTCTTTCCTTTCAGCTTGTTGATCCAGGATTCAGTCATATGCATGGTAATGTGTAGCTGAAGGATGTTGGCCCTGCCCAGCTGGCTTAGACCTCACCTCTAAGCCTGTACTCAAAAAAAACTACCTATTCTGAGCAGCATGGGAATCTCTCCAGGGCCCAGAATGTGAAAATTAATCAATTCTTGTAGAAATGTTTCTGTAATGCTGTGGAATCCAGCCAACAGACATGATGAATGTGAAAACTGTTTTCTAGGACATCCAGTTTCATTTAAATTTGTCAAGCCCAGAGAACTTTTCAGCAAATGTCTGTATCCTTCCATCCTGCATCCTTTTGTGATGTGGTTACCCTGGCAATCCAGGTGACTTTCCAGAAAAGCCAGCTCCATCAAAGTTCATTGACTTGCTACATTAAAGGCCTTCAGTAGTCTTCAGCACCTATTGATGCCAGTTCTTCCATGGGCTTGGACTGTTATGAGAAGAGATCGGCAGAGAGGGTTATGCTCTAGCATGGTTGATTTGAGCTGATTTTTTCCCTTGTTTCTTCTTCACTCTACATGGACCAATAATTTTGAAACATATAATAATATGTTTAAAACCAATAAAACCAATAATTTTTCTGCATATCATCAGACTTCTGTTCCAGCAGATTCTCTATAGGGGTAAAGTGTTCCACTAAAGGTCTCTTCTTGTGTACCTCCCTTCAATGTGTTTGTGCAATAGTTTGACTTGAAAAAATCACAATATAATTTCTTCCTTTAGGCAAGCCACAGAGGGACCAATGTTTAACAAGTTTGTCTATATTTTCTACTTGAATTTAGCATTTTTTTAACACTTGAGATTAAGAAATAGAGCCTAAAAGGTACTTAAGTATGTAAGAACACTGAGCATTGAAATGCCTGACTCCCTGAGTGCCACATGGAGTGCTTGCACTTTATGAGGGGAAAGTTGGGTGCCTCAGAAGAACAGAACCTGAATGCACAAGGAGCTGCTTGCACCAATCAACAGAAGGATGAGCCTGGAAGGGGAAATCACATGGGGAAGACCAAGCAGACAAGAGCTGCTCTCATGATAAAAAACAAACAACAAAATAATTTTTAGAAACCCAAAGTGAACAACAACCCATGAAATGTTAAACAGAGGTTGACCCATCCCCTCTAGTACCTTCTAGTTTCTTTGCTCAAGTTTTTGGAAATGATACAGTCTGTACATTCTCCTGGGATATTGTCAGAGGGTAGGATTTCTGCAAGCTGAACCCTATGGGAGGAGGAGGAGGAGAAGTGGAGACACTGATGATGAAGGGGTGGAAGAACAGGACTAAAGGAGCTTATTGAAGCTCTTAACCATAGTAAGCCCAAGCAAGGGCCATCTTTTTTTTATAAAGGCCTGGTCCTGGGGGTATTTTTGAGGAGCCTGGCATAAGCTGAATCCTACAAATGCCCCGGATTTCAGAGCATCAGGGTTTCAGGCTTGTTCAAAACCAGACTCCTCTAAGTCTGTTCCAGATATTGTGATTTTTTGAGAACAGGATCCCAGCAAAAGACAACCACAATAGAGAGATTTCTTCACTGAAATACAGAGATACAACTCATCAACACAGCCGCCCCTGAAGTTATATGAGTCACCGTTTCTCAAAGGACGACCTGTATGTGCAGCAAGCATCCCAGAATTACTTCAATCCCAGGAATAGGTGGCACTTCCAGCTCCATTTGCCAAAAGGTCCCCACATGCAGGGGCAGTAATAACCCCCACCAAGAACTTCTGCATTCCACGTGGAGACAGCCTTCCATCACCCAGGCAACACGCTGCCAAATATATGCTAAAAATGATGAGTTGGAGACTGGGATCCAGGTGGATCCCTGTCACAAGGTAGCCATGCAGAAGCTTTCCAAAGGTTTATTGGGGGCCTGCATGTGGCTTTGCTCAGGAGCACACATGCCCTGTACCCTGCACCAAAGGATCCTGCTGGTGCTGTGACCGGGAGGATTCAGCCTGGACCACTGCAAGGCAGCATCTGGCCATGGGGAGAAGGCTGGGATAGGATCAAGCAACATGAAAGGGGTCACAGCACCAAGAGATTTCAGGAAGTTTGGACAGTACTCTCAGACACATGGTGGGACTCCTGGGGATGGTCCTGTGCAGGGCCAGGAGCTGGACTCGATGATCCCTGTGGGTCCCTTCCAACTTAGGTTATTCTGTGATACAAGGAAGCCCCAATTTCATGGAAGGCTTTGCTTCCCAAAATCAGGTTATAGTTGACTGGTTGTATATTGAAAACATATATGTTTAAAAACATAAATCATGGAAACATGGTGAAGGTTGGGTCATCCCTCTCCCATGGAAGGCTCTGCTGCCCACCTGCCCCGCACTTCCCTGTCCAGCAGCCACCCTGCAGTCCCTCACCACCCCTCTGCCCCCCAATTTTGTGTCCAGCCTGCCTGACATGGGACACAGGGCTGTATCTCATGCTCGGAGTGTGGGTGCTTGATGCCTTTTTTTTTTTTTTTTTTTTTTTTTCAGTACTTCACAGACATTTTTGAGTTGGACGGTGCCTCTGGAGATCATCCAGTCTGAGCCCTCTGCCAAAGCAGGGTCACCTAGAGCGGGTGACACAGGAACGTATCCAGGTGGTTCGGAGTCTCTCCAGAGAAGGGCTCTCCACAACCTCCACGGGCAGCCTGTTCCAGTAACATAAGGAAGTTTTACCTCATGTTGAGGTGGAACTTACTGTGTTCTAGTTCATGTCCATTGCTCCTCATCCTGTCACTGGGCAGCACTGAAAGTGCATCATCCTTTTGCTTTTGAAACAGACACCGAACGGAACTTTCTGAAAGGGATCTCAGCCCGGGCTAGTAGCGTGTGTTTGCCTGACTTCGTTCCCAGCCTGGCGGTGACACTCTGGGCTGTATTTTTACCCTCTCCTTGCCAGGCCGCCCCTCCCCGCGCGCCGCCGCCCGGCCGCGGAGCGCGCCCGCCATCTTGTGGGCTCTGCCCGCCTTGCAGGCCGCCCTCAGCCCAACCCCGGCGGCGGGAGTTTTCCCGAGCAAATTTAAAAAATGGAAGATAACTGGGACTGGAACAGGTTTCTCAGAGAAGTTGCGGATGCCTCATCCCTGGAAGTGCTCAAGGCCACGTTGGGTGGGCCTCTAAACAACCCGGTCTAGTGGAAGATGTCCCTGCCCATGGAAGGGGTGTGGGAACTTTAACGTCCCTTCTATCCCAAGCTATTGTATGATTCTGATTCTGTGATTTTGCAAACAAGGGTAGGAGAAAGCCGAAAGCAGTGTCCTAAGACAGGCATTCCCTTTTATTACTGGGAAGATTGCAGAGTGAGTGAATGTGTTTCCAGAGCCCCAGCAGGTGCAAGTCCTGTGGGGAACCTGGGCTATCTGGATGACTCTTGTTATCCTAAAGACAGGTATCCCCACAAATCCTTGCCAGTCTAGGATTTAATAGGCCCACCCTGCTAATGTTTTACCATCAGAGAGGTCAGCATGTGCAGATTCTGGGGAAGATGGGCAAAGAACAGTTAATGCGTTTTGACTGGAAGTGCCTCTGAATTACAGAAGCAATGAGTGTGGTTGATGAGAAATTGCCTGCTTGGCACTGCTACAACATCCTGCTGAAGAGAGAGCGATGCAAGTGCATGCACACTCCTCTAGGAAAGAGTGAGGAACAAAATTTTTCCTCCCCTGAGGCAAGAGAAGAGATCCCAACAAACAGTGGAGCCAGATGATGGCGTATGATGCGCCCAAGTACAAAAGTATTCCTACAGAATAGGAGCTGGCTTTCCTTTCTCAGTCAATCTTTCATGATAATTTACTGTTTATCCTGCCTTAGCCCGGACTCTCTGCTTTGCCTGGCTAATGGAACAGTGGTGTCTTAATTCACTTAAAATGCAGCATTGAACCTGTCTGTTGTCACTGATGGTAGATGCACCAAAGTTAGGGGAGAGGGACCCACAAATCCTGACAGCTTCCCTAACATCTCCCTTCAACAGGAGCATCTCAACCCAAGTGAAACAGTAAAATCTCCCCACAACCTGTAGCACAACAGGGCTTTGTACACCACCCCCGCCCCCCCATGCAAGGTGGGGGATCTCCCCTTCCATGGGAGAGCTGTGGAGTGAAGTTAATAGGAAGATGGAAGCTTGTGTCTGTTTTAAGCCAAGAAATTAGAAGCTCTGCCAAAACTCACTTTGCCCTGCTTTTACCCTCAGCTTACCCTGTTAATATGCTAAAAATATTCAATCATCTTTCTGTTTGAAGGACAGGAGCTATTAGGGTCCAGCTTCTCTTTTTTAAGGACCCATCTTCCACCCTAGTCAAGTACCTAAATACATTGGAGGATTTTGACCCAAAGGCTGAGACTTCTGAAGCTCATTTCTTATTTAGCACATAGGCAAGAGCTTGTGGCATTAACAGCTCAATGGCTTCAGCTCTAAATGAACTGGCAAAGGTATTCTCAGCCCAGAAAGATTCACTAAGAAAAATTTCCAGTTGTAGTGGTTGATCAGAGAAGCAGTTTCTGCCCCTCCTCTTTCCCTTTCCACAGCACTGTTTTCCAGCCTCTCATTCCCCAGTCTGTCCATGCATCCAGGGTTGCCCCATTCCAGGTGCAGAATCTGCCACTTCCTTCACTGAACTTCCTATCGTTGGTGATTGCCCAGTCCTCTGATTTGTCAAGGTCTCCCTGCTCTCGAGGGCTTCAGCACATCCTCCCAGTTTAGTATCATCAGCAAACTTACCCAGGATCCCTTCATACTCTGCATCCCAGTCATTTATGAAGATATTGAGGAGCACAGGGTCTAAGATGGAGCCCTGTGGAACCCCAGCAGTCAGGCCACCAGTCCAATGTCACCCCATTCCCTGTAGCCCTTCGTGCCTGACTGGTGAGCCAGTTGCTCATCCATGACATGATGTGTTTATTCAGCTCTGTGCTGGACATTTTGTCCAGAAGGATACTGTGAGAGAGTATTGAAAGCTTTACTGAAATTCAAAATGATTACATTAACTGGTCAGCTAGGTGGGTTCCCTTGTTGTAAAATGAAGTTTGACAAGAAGGACCTTGCCCTCAGGAAGCCATGCTGGCTGGGACCGATGAATGGTGGTTTCCTGCTTGGTCGCTCTCTCCTTGCAAACCTTGTTACTCTTCCAGACCAAGTCACTTATGACACTTTGCTTCTGATTCATCATTGGTGTCTCATTTTGGAAAACTGAAATAAATGCTGGACCAAACCAGGCAGAACTGCAGGGCTGCCTGGGTGCTGTGCTGTGGAGGAGGGTGGTTAAATAGCAGGCAGCTGAGTGTGACAGAAGGAAGAGCTGAGGTGGAGGAGTGGGATGGAGGGTGCCCAAGCAGCACCGTACAGCCCAGCAAGGGCAAGCAAAGGGATGGAAGGCAGTCCCTGTTCAGAGAGGGAACACTAGTTAGTCTGAACAGGAAAAGGGAATCTGGCAAGGACAAGGGCACAGTTTTGTAATGGTACAGGGGACCCCTGGAAAGACCGTGAAATGAGAACAATCAATTAACAAGCTGCTGTGGCTTCAGAAAAGACATTATAGACCTACTGGTGTAATGAGCACATCTGATGCACAGAAGCTATTTAACCTTCAGCCTCTTGCCTTATAAAGCACCTCTGGGGCAGTGGGTAAAGCTGTTAATTATTAAGGTCAACCCTAGCAGACAGAGGTGTCCTCAAGTATGGGTCGTTGTGACACACTCAGATAATTTCTCCATTATGTCAATAACTAATTTCCTGAATTGTTCAAGAATTGACAGATTAGCATCCATTAACCAAGTCTTAACTCATGGCTACGGGAGCAGTTACAGGCCACAAGGACAGCAGAACCCATTTGTAACTCCTCGAGCACATGTAATAGATACACACAGACAGTACTGCAGCAGCTTGGTGTTAGTAAAACAAATAACCAAGGTGTGTAAAAAGGCTGGGCAGGCAGTGACAGGCACTGGCTTGAACAGATGTCTTGATGTTTGCCCTCAGGTGCTCTGAGAGCACGGGATGAAGCCACTCTGAATTTTAAAGAACTGTGTATTGAGGAATTGTAAATTAGCAGAATCACAACTAAACCAAAATACCCATTATATTCACTACCAAAAGGGCTTTTTCCTTTTTTTTTTTTTTTTTTTCTGGAAAAAAAAAAATCCACACAGCAAACATTTCATGGATTTGAGAAGTGTGACTTTTTACAATGCTCATCCTTATGCTGCAAGACAAATCTCATTGCTTTTATTTATGCAGGCCATGTAATTTTGTGCCTAAATGCAAACTTTTTTTTTCCAAGCAGAGCCTAAGAAGAACCTTCGGAAACTGCAATACAGGTAGGTAAGAAATTCCTTTGCTTCACAAAGTGGTTTTATAGTTGCCTCTAAGCCAAGCACGACTGGAAAAGCAGCTGTCCTAAGTGGAGCTGTTGTGAAGGGACACGGGGGGCACAGTGCTGAGGCTGCCTGAGCCTGGCACACCGGCTGCACCCAGCTCCTGGAGGAGGAGGGAATGGCCGTGACTGCGCCACAGCGTTACCTGTGTCTGCACTTACCTGCCTGAGACTCTTCTGGCTGACTGCCTGGAGGCTGAGGAGAGACAGGAAAGAGAAGGAAATGAAACTATGATGGTGATAAAACCTACTAATACCAACATTCCTTTAGGGGATCGGTGGGAAGTGAGGCACTGGAATAACTGCTGCCAGCCTGCTGCCAGAAGGGTGATGAGCTGCTTTTCCAAGGCCAGCAATGAACACCAAAAGATATTAAACCCTCCCACAGCACAGATGAAAGAGCTGGAGACTGGGGGTATGGAAAGGAGGTCAGAGCAGCTTCTTAAGAAGAAACATTACTGGACTTGCAGCTGCATCTGGGTGTCCCACCAAAGCTGGGGATGATGGGCTGTGCGAGGGGATTTCAGGGGCTTGTCTGTGCTGCTGAAAAGGTGGAAAAGGGGAAGTTCCAAGCACCAACACTTCCCTCAGACTTAGGCTTGTCTCCTGGTTTGTGGCAGGCTTTTGGCTGTACTGCCAGCTGTTCTGCCCCAAAAGAAGAGTTTCAGCTGTCCACTGCAGGCTGTTTGGAGGGGAAGGGATTGGCAGGCAATGCTCAAATACAGCAGTCCTGTTTAAATGCCAACACAGGGAGTAGAGCGGGCAAGACAGGCAGGGGGTGCCAGCCCAGTCACAGGGTGGTGAACATGGCAGCAGCCCTCATCTCCTAGACTTGTGCCCGGGGAGAAATGTCAAAGCTGGAGTGGGTAGGGACACTGCTCCCTTACCTGGAATGATGTCTGGCTTTTTTTCCCCACCCCAGACATCCTCTACTAGACCAGTCACTACCACTTTTCCTCACAAGCCTCATCTCACTTGTATTCCTTAGGCTGCCATGACCGCAGCATCACTGCAGTACCTTTGTGCAAGGGGCAGGTGGCCGTGGGAGAGGCCACAGGGAGAGAGCAAGCCCAGGTGCACCACAGGCTGGAGCTGTCTGCCCACCGAAACTGCCCAGGCGGCTGTGACTGAAATTTAATTTGCCTGGTGCATTCCGTGGACATTTTAATCAGCATTTCCTACAATCTACTTGGCAAAGAGGCTCGATTGGCAGCTGCCTGACTGAATGGGCTTTGCACCCAGTCTAACCTTCTCCATTCGCAATTTCCAGTGCTGGAAAACCTCTCTGTCTCACTTTCAGAAGTTTCTATAGCAATCACAGCCATCCTAGTGAAGCACTGGAAATGGCAGCCCATTCAGATTGTAATTTCGCTGGACAGTAATTGCTCCTCTCTCCACTGGCCTCTGAAATGTTACTTTTTGGGAGATATCAACTGCAACTGGAGGAGACTGGTCCTCTGCCTGTGTTTCCAACCAGCTTTGCTCCCCCTGTCCCCTGAGGATCTTTGTTAGCTGTTTACAGTGTGTGAACCTTGATTAGCAGGGAAGTGTTGCTGGCACATCATACCTTGGCTACAGGAAAGACCTGACGTGAGTGATGCTCTTAACAGGCCTGCAGGAACAAACCTCACCACCCAACACAGCATGCTGTGACCTGAACATTATCCATCACTGCATGTAGAAAAAGTTACACAAATGTGTGTGCCTTTGCTAATTGTAAAAGACCAGAGCACTCAAAGGTTTTTCCTTCATGTCGGTGAGCTTACTTTTCCTAGATTTGTTGACTTCAGCTTAAACACTCACTTGATCTTTTGTTCCATGCTTCAGTTTTCAGTGGCTGTGATTGCTCTTAATTACTGTGACACTGAAGAACCATGCACTGAAAATACATTAAGTAACTTCTTGCAATAAGAGAATGTGGTAGAATTATCCCACAGCTTGTGAAGAAATCAGTTAACCATTTCTTAAGCTCTTGTAATAATCTTCCCCTATACTTTTATGGTTATTGTTGCCTGCTGGAAAAATTAGCTTAAAGCTGAGTAAGGGGAATTGTGGATAAGTGTTTGCAATTTGGCTTTGGACTGACATAGTGTGGTTGCACTCAGAGAATTTGAAGTCTTTGCTCTGGCAGCAGTACTCAAATCTGGAAATATAGGATTCACATTGGAAAAGAGTGGATTTTTATAACTATTTAAATGAACAATTTCAGCTAGAGAGTGGATTAACAGAGCCAACTAAACCCTTCACCCTGACAAAGAACTGGCGGGAGGACTATAGAAACACATCCAAAATTTTACCAACATGAATGCAGAGTACTAGGTCAGTGAGAAGCATTTCTGTATTTTAATGGCTCTCTTAGAAATCAATTCAATTTAAAACAAAAGTTGTTTTACAAATATGTGGAGAATGCAGAAGGCTGGAGAGGGAGCAAGTGGCCTGCATCTTCCATCTGCTCCATCCTCCCTCTCCTCTCGCACTAGGAACTGCTACTGCAAGTCCCCCTTCTGGGCAGACAGAGAAAAAAGCAGGCAGCGTCCCAAACCCGAGGGTCAGAAGTGTCTCCCATTCTGCAGGTGCATGGGTGCACCCCCAGACCCCACACCCTGTATTTTACATGTGCCAGAGCTCCTGAGGCCCAAAGCCAAGCAGCAGGAAAGTCTAAGCCCAGAGGTCTTGGGGAAGCTGAGACAGAAACCTGTGCTTCTCCATCAGAAATGAGGTTACAAAACAAGAGAATATTAAGTATCCCAGGATGAGAAGCAATCTTCACTGACAAGAAATGGACATGTTGGGGATTGCTTATCTGTGAGAGGAAATGGATCAAGATGACACAAGAGAAGCATCCACCGGACGAACAAAACTGCAAAGGCAGATTGGCAAAACTTTGAAGAATTTCAGAAGAGGCAGCAAAGCCTAGGGAATTTTTTTTGAGCAAAATTTCTAATTAAACCCTGACAGCTTACTGCTGCAGGATGTTTAAAGGGAAAACAGGATCTTAAATTGATCTGGAGAAGGGTCCAGTGTTTCCATGAGTGACAAGGCACATCTTGAACAGTAAGAATCCCAAATTATGGGGGGGAAAAAGCACTTTAATTTGTCTCACCCTCAAGTTGTTGGAGGAAAGTGGTGGAAAATAGGATTCCAAACCCAAAAATTATGGCTGCTGGCAGCAGTAACTGAGGGAGACAAGTTTAAACTACTTCTGGAGGAGGACCTTTCTGACAAGCCATGGATATTTCAACCAAAAAGCTGAACCATGTGTAGGGCAATGGCTACTGCTTGTGCAGGCAACCACATGCCCAGAAACTGGCACTGCTGCCAGTCCAGGTTTGCCCCCTGGATACAGAGATCTAAGAAAAAGCAATCACACCAAGTCATGAAGACCAAAGGGCTGGAGCACCTCTCCTGTGGAGACAGGCTGACAGAGGTGAGATTGTTCAGCCTGGAGAAGGCTCCAGGGATACCTTACAGCACCTTCCAGTACCTAAAGGGCACTGCAAGAGACCTGGAGAGGGACTTTTTACAAGGGTATGCAGTTACAGGACAAGGGGGAAAGGCTTTAAACTGAAAGAGGGAGGGCTTAGAGTGGCTATTAGGAATAAATGCTTTACTGTGAGGGTGGTGAGGCACTGGAATAGGTTTCCCAGAGCAGCTGTGGATGCCCCATTTCTGGCAGTGTTCCCAGACAGGCTGGATATGGCCTTGAGCAACCTGGTCTAGTGGGAGGTGTTCCTGCCCATGGCAGGGGAGGTTGGGATTAGATGATCTTAAAGGTCCATTCCAACCCCTTAATACTCTTATTATTCTAATTAACAGTGGGTCTGTCTATCCAGAACACATATCTAAAATTATCATGAGTAAGTGACAAGTTTATAAAATCTGGATTTATTAATTTTTCTTTATTACAAGATAAACTATTCTCAAATAACAGATGGATTTGACAGTGTTCAGTTTGTAATATACTAGATTCAAAATTATGTATTTAAAAAAATATTCTCTGTATACAAGGAAAATCCCAACAGAATTTACAAAGCCACTGTATTTCAAATGTATAGGATCTGAGATTGTTATCCTCTTATAGGAAATTTGTTATTACAAGTAAAAGAAAAACTACACAAATGGTTTACAGTTTTAATCACAAATCTCAATTTTTTTTTCTTTAGATTCTTAAAATAGATGCATTAATTAAAACAAAATCACTACGAAGAGGCACATGGTGTTTAGTGGATGACATTAATTCTGTAACCCAAACAAGGAGACTAATCCACTCTGAGTAGCTAAATTATTTTTTGCACTATTTACATACTTTACTGAAGTATTTTCATCCCAGAGCCTCAGAAAGCATCTTAGAATGTTAATAAGGGAAGCCTGGCAGCATGCCAGAGTTAACAAGTAAGAAAGTAACATCATTCCCATTTTATCCACAGGGAAACTGAGGCACCAGGCGTATTCAGACCCAGGAAACTGCAGAAAGAAAAATCCTGAATCTTAATTCTGTTAGCTGCGTTATGATGAAAAGACTGTTCTTCCTCCTTGTTATGTGGCTGGTGACCCTGCTGGGCACTGTTTGAAACCTGGTCAGTTGCTTTTATTCATGTTTAGATTGCTGCAAACTAGGTGACATCTATCCAGCTGTGTTGTCATCACAAACACCTTTACTAAAAGAAAAGCCATTAATGGTTTTCCTTGTTAGATCAAAAACCAGCAACAACAAAAAGTGCATCTTCAATCCCTCCAAAGCCTTTGGAAGGCTGTCTTGTTCTACCCAAAATACTGCAATTGTTCCCTCCATCTGCACAGTAACAAATACTGAAAACCAGTAACTCTGAAAGACAGAATTGCACTATTTATCATTTAAAAAAAAAGAAGTTAAATTTTTGGGCATTGTGAACATTCTTTGGTCAATCAAGTATTTGAAAGAAGTTAGTTAAGAGATTCTCAGCCAGGATGTAACCTTTAGAAAACATGAAGTGTTTCACATGGTCCATAATCCCCAGGCTTTTACTTCCTATGACAGCAAAATATTCTACCACATCAATAAAGGTCACTTGAAAAGACCTTTAAAAATAACTTGTCAATAATGTTTGCTGAACGACTAAAGGAAATAAAAACTTGTTGCAGATCTGAGATGACATGAATTCACAAGTTAAGGAAAACCTAAAAAGCCAGGACTTAAAACTCTGGATAGAAGCATCCAGCACAAATCCAGCAAATTTTAAGGCTATTATGGAGTGTGCATCATTTAGTCACAGGCATCTCATTGTTTACTTTTTGGCAAATACTACATCTTCATGTGGGAATAAAGTCATGGACTGTTGCTGTCTCACAGCAGCAGGAGCAGGCCAGGCAGCAGGGGACAGGACAGCTGGGAGCACAGGTGGCCCAGGACCCTGGGGCACAACAAAACCACTCTTGTCCATGGTGTCCACTGAGATTCTGGCCAGCACCAGTTGCCTGGAAGGTGTCTGACCCCAGAAGCAGCACCCCCAACTCAGCACTGGAAAAAGGCTTTATAAATGCTACAGCACCCTAAAATAAGCAAATAGGGCCTCACTTTCTTCAGGGAGGTAGATGAGCATAAATGTGCTGCTTCTGTGGTTACTGGGGCACCCTCTGCCCTGGCATCTGGCCTGGCTGAGAAACCAGTCCAATAAATTTCCCCTTGTGGACCTGACCCAAAAGTGGCAAACCTCCCTCTGCAGCACAATCACAAATACAGCACAGTGATTTAGGCAACTTTCTTTGTTTTCAGCCTCAAAACGCTTTTGGACTCTTCCCAATTTATTTTCCTTGATTATTGATGGTACCTTCCAGGGACTCCCAAGAGACAAATTCCTTGCTGGCCGAGGAAAGACTGCACTATGGTTTTATTTAGCAATATGTCCTGGAAGCAGTGCTGGCTCTGGAAGCTTTTGGGGGACTTCCCTCCTGTGTTTTCACAGAGCTCACCTATATCCTTAGAGGCTTTCAGTGGTACATCAGTCCCACTGCATTCAGGAGCTTCCAAAAACCTGGGGTATCTGAGTTTGGGGTGTGCATTCAGACTGCAGAAAAGCCTCAAATACCAATGGGCAAAGCAGCAGCAGTTTGAACACAAACAGGGATCCTGTGCTTAAAGGAGCTTTGTCATCACCCACACAGACGGTGGAGAAACACCTCACTTCCCTGGCCTGAAACAGTCTCTGTGGGAATGAAGAACCTGCCAGGACCTCCTCTCCCATATGTCCCAGACATGTCATCTGTGTTCTGCAAGATTACACACTTCCCCTATACCACCTGACAGAGAAGGACATATAGGCTAAATATATAAACAGTTTTTAAGCAAATGTAAATAAATATCCAGGTGCAAAGTGCCTTAGGTTATCTACCACCATCTCCCATGTTCCTACAACACATTCTGGTTCAAGGCAGGAGGCATTTGAAGGCTACTCAAAAAACGTCAAGGCTGAAGCTTCAGGAGAGTTATCAGCGCAGTACCAGGCTGATAAGTATAGAGTGCCACATATAAATACAGAAACACACACATTTAAATTATATATATTAGTTTTATCTAGATTTATATGTACATGTATAAATTAAATATACATATGTGTTTGTATGTACAGACACACATGCATGAATGTCAATAGTCCCTCAGATGAGACACCTAATCCAAATCTCTGAAAGCATACAACAGTTATTTGGAAATTCTTAAGTATAAACAATGTATTCTGATTGGAGTTTTCATAAATATGCATTAAAATTCTCCATGGTAGTCACCCTTGTGGGAATAATAATACAGTTCCATTAGTTGCAAACTATAAATATAGGCTTTAAAAAATAATTTAAAAAAAAAATTATTTGAAGAGCAGGTATAGCCAGAGTAAGTAACTTCCAGGACAAGCGGAAGGGATCAGAACAGAAAACCAGACCTGAGCATGGGTTCCCTAACAAAAGTAAGTGCATAGGACCTCTCCAGCCCTCTCTGCTGCCCAGAAGGCCCTTTTAGAAACTTTTTGTAATTGTGATGGGAGACAATTTGGTAACAGACAGAAAAAGGTCATGTTGCAAAATCCAACAAAACCTCTCAAAGCTGGGGACAGTGTGTTACATATCTCCTCCCTAGGACATGAGGGCAGTCTTTTCAGTCCATCTACATGTTTTTTTTCTACTCAAAGTTTCTAAATATGCTCTTAAGATTACTTTATAAAAATACACAATAAGCCAATACACACAATACCATGTTTTGTTTCAGTTAGATTAAAATCAAGAATGACACCAAAATATCTTCAACTAAAAGAGAGTTTCCAACTACAAACATGAGGATGGGTCATGTGTCTTGAGGTATCAGTTACTATCCTATCTTTTCCATAAAACACATTCCTATGGTACCATGATGAATTGCCTCAGTAGTACTGAGTACTGCTCCCCCCGGATCGGGGCAGATGTGTCAGCAGCAGTGGAAGGTTTGGTGTAGAAGAAACATAAGAAAATTCAGGGTAGAGATGTAACTGGTGTAGAGGCAGCCTATCCAGGCTTGCAAGAACCACAAAATTTAGGAAGAATATGAACTTGCACTTATTTGTTACAGCATACCCTGTCTTATCAAGGTCTCTTTTCTCATCCATTACTTAGATCTTAATCCTGTGCAGCTTCAAGTATCTTAAAGCTCCTCCTCAGGGTTCTCTCTTGGTTAAAACCATTAGCTTTCAATGAACCAGACTGATCAACAGTATGATTTAAAAAAAACTCCTGGAGCCTGAATGTCAACACATAGCTAGACTCAGAGAATAGAAAAAATAAAAACAAAACCAAAACACACTACAGAGGAGTTCCAGGATTCTAGCATGGACAATATCAGGAGTTTCTTAAAGAAGCATTTGATTTTTCTTTTGTGCAATCAGCATTGTACATGACAGAAGCAGTGCATAATCATTCAAAGTGCTCACTTCAATGTGACATCATAAAATGACTCTGCATAGCCCATTAACTTTGTTGGTAGACCAATTCTCCAGAAACATTCTAATCCCATCAAACTTCCTGAACATCAAAGGTATATTTTAGAGAATCATTAGGGTTGGAAAAAAACTCCAAGATCATTGAGTCCAACTTTTGTCCAAACCTCATCCTATCCAGATCCAAACCGCAGCTCTAAGTGCCATGTCCAGCAATTTCTTGAACACTTCCACGGATGGTGACTCCACCACCTCCCTGGGCACTCTGTTCCAATACTAGACAACACTTTCAGTGAAGAAATTCTTCATCATGTCCAACCTGAATCTCCCCTGGAGCAGCCTGAGGCTCTGTCCTCTCATCCTGTCACTGGTTGCCTGGGAGAAGAGTACAACCCTCACCTCATTACAACCCTCCTTTCAGGTGGCTGTAGAGAGCAATAAGGCCTCCTCAAGCCTCCTTTCCTCCAGGCTAAACACCCCCAGCTCTCTCAGCTGCTTCTCACAGGACTTGTGCTCCAGATCCTTCACCACTTCACTGCCCTTCTCTGGACTCACTCCAGCCCCTCAATGTCCTTCTTGTACTGAGGGGCCCAGACTGGACACAGCACTCAAAGTGAGGCCTCACCAGTGCCAAGTACAGGGGAACAATCACTGCCCTGGTCCTGCTGGCCACACTGTTGCTGATACAGGCTGAGGCTCCATTGGCCTTCTTGGCCACCTGGGCACAGCTGGCTCATGTTCTGTTTAGCCCCAGGTCCTTTTCCCCTGGCAATTTTCCAGCCCCTCTGCCCCAGCCTGTGGTGCTGCCTAGGGCTGTTGTGACCCAAGGGCAGGACCTGGCACTTGGCCTATGTAGAACCTCATACAACTGGCCCCAGCCCATTGATCCAGCCTGTCCAGATCCCTTTGCAGAGCTTTCCTACCCTCCTGCAGGTCAACATGCCCACCCAACTTGGCGTCATCTGTGAACTTACTGAGGGTGCACTTTGATCCCCTTGTCCATACACCATGCATAAAGATATTGAAGAGGGCTGGGCCCAGCACTGAGCCCGGGTAAACACCACTGGTGACCAGCCACCAGCTGGAGGTAATTCCATTCACCACCACTGTATGGAGCCAGACATCCAGACAGGTTTGAAGAAGAACGAATGAAGGCAAAATTTCACATATCCACACACTGGTGGTACAGACAAATAACTGAGACCTCATGTCTTAAACTCAAAAAACTATTGATGAAAGAAAACATGGTCCAGATGATAAAGTGCAATTATTATTCAAGTTGTGCTAAAAAGCTTTCCAGTGCTTTTCTGAAGCTGTTCCAATTTTTCTTCTTGGTGATTTCATGCTGTAGTTTTACTTCTTGGTGATCTCATTCAACTTTAAATTATGTTTTTTTGCTTCTGTCCCCATCATTCCAGTACTGTTCAGTTTGCATTTCTGTGAGCCGTGAAAGAGTACGCTGAAAGGCAAAGACTTCCTCTTCTCCTGTAAACATGGAGAGTTCTTTGGCAGAATCCTACATCAGTACACAAGAACAGTAGCACACACCTGTGAGACTCATGGCTGTACTGAAGTGCATCCTGTCTAACTCAGTGCTTTACAAGCTTTGACAAAACAAGACAGCAGCATGGCACCAAAAAATTAAAACCGATGTCTAAAAATTAAAGAAAAGCACCTATTTCAGCTACATCATCCCCTGAAGGAATACAGCAAAAAGAATAATTTGGTTTTAAAACAGCACAGTAACAGGTTAACCATCTATTTTTCCTTTTTTGTAGACTAATGGTACCCCAATTAAAAACATTATTTAAAAAGTCATTAGCAATAACTGAGCCACAGAGAAAAAGAAAAACAGAATAAACAACATGTAAAGTAGTACTGTTTGTGAGGAGTTGTGAGGCTGTCCTGTAGTCCAGCAACAGGTAGAACAAACTACCTTTTATTTCTGTATTTTAAATGTAGGTGCCAAACTTAAATCAACATTTTCATATATGACTGAACAGATACAATGATTAATATTCAAAATGACCCTAAAACTTCCACAAAATGGTTCTACATATAGTGACATTTTCTTTGACTATGAATAAGTAGCATAACATGTAATTATCAGCGTGACAGAGACACTGCAAAAAAGCAGCATATCAATAGTTAAGTTTTCTTGATTCCCCCTCTTAAAATGCTGCTGCAATTATGAGACTAAACCCAATTTTGTTACAAAAGGGAGACGATGTTAAAATCATGTACCTGGCTCAAGTCCAAATCATCCATCAACACTCTGTTGTCCTGCAGTTCACCACTGTCGTGTTTCACCTGGAACAAGCTTTGGAGAGGAGCTGCTGCAGAACAGATAATGCGCACCTGAGAGGAGGAGAGCGGGCAACAGTATCACCCCTTGGGCTTTACAGGAACGGCTAAAATACAGCGTCTATGCACAAACTTCAAGTTAAATCACCAGCGGTTTTTCCCCAATGATCTTCCTTTCTCTTATTAGCACAGCTGTTACAGATTTACCTGACTTAGATGAACTATTAATCTTACATGATCTTTTTCTCAGTAACAACTGATGTAACTTTTACTCAGAGAACAGAAGAACTGTGCTATCAAATACTCAGAATATCTGCTACACAGGCAATGAGCTCAATGTAAAGTTTACTTTCTAAAATAACAGCTGTATAGTAAGCAATGCTTAGTTTTCACCCATAGTGAGAGTCCTCTCAGTGGGTAGATACACTGCACTATTTAAAGAACACTTAAATTCCAAATTTCCCAGAAGACTGAGTGAAGCCTTTCTAGCCTTGATCTGTGCTACTCCAGTGAGTTATTTGCTAGTAAAAATAATGATGGTGTTTTCATGTCTGCTGGGAAGAGGCACAACATGCAGTGAGAGATGGGGGCTGCAATGAAGATAATTGAAATAAGAGAAATAATACTATAGAAGACTCTTGTTGAGAGCATACAGGCAAGATGTTTGTGTTGTGGACAGGCATTCACAAATATACTTAGGTATTTTTCCCAACTACTTTTGATGGCAGTTTAACCTCGTGTTTTTCCTATGGAGGAAGTAATAGCAAGTGACTGCTTGCAATTCTTAATGACAGCCCAAACACAGAGCAGACCATACCCCTATTTCTAACACATTAGTTTAATATTAGCATATTGTCTTAGCAAATATCCACTTCCCAACCATAAAGAATAAAGAATCTGGCTAATTTGAATGACGCTGATTTGAATCTGGCTGATTTGAATGAGATTATTCATACACTGAGTTAGTTCAACACCTTGCTGAGCTGGGGCCTTTCTGATCAACAACCCACACCAGAACATTCTCGATAAGAACCAGCCTCAACTGACACTTCCCAACTGCATAAATATTTAAGTGCGTGCAAATATAATCATATACAAGAAAGTATTTCAAACCTTCCATCACTTAAAAAAAAAATCCCCTTAAATAGGAACTTCCCTTTGTTTTAGTTATGCTGATTTTGCTTCCATGATTGAAATCTCTGTAAATCCACAAGAAGTGCTGCATTTATCATTATTATTCCATAAGCAATTCTGCAATCTAATGTAAAGCCTACAGTGACTGTTTCCTTTAAAATTTATGATGTAATTGTGCTATTAACTCCTCCTTCCTGATCAAAAAGGCACTGATTCCTGACCAACTGCCCATGCAGATTAAAATCTAAAAAACTCCATTTCACTCCAGCACAGTTGGCAGCACAATCTTTCATTATTAAAATAATGACATGGCTTCTGTTGTTTTCCTGGGTTAGGAAAGAACATCCCCATTCAAAAAAGGCAAATGAGCTCAGGCTTATATTTATGCTCATGCTTAATACTCACAGAAACTAAAAAAAAAAAAAAAACCTGTTTATTTGCCTTTATTGAAATGGGACCCTTTTTTTTGTGTGTGTGAAGCTGGAATGATGTTTCTTTGCAGTGCTACTTCATACTGCTTATGTTTTCCAAACCATTACTACAGAAAGCCTTATTTCAAACCAATAGTAACAGTCAGTTTTAGGACTCCCAATATTATTTCTATGCATATAGGAAAGGCTTAGTTCTCACCTTACGCTCATAAAAGGTATCAATAAGAGTAATGAAACGACGAGATTGTGTCCTTTTTGCTGTTGTAAGAAGTGGTATGTCACGAACAAACACTGTGTCAAAATGCTTTGATATTTCCAAATAGTCGCTGGCTCCAAGAGGCTGAAACAAAACAAACCATAAGCAATGGAAACCCATGATAGAATGACACAAACTCTGTATCTTGACATACAGTAACAGAAGAGAGCTGTAAAGTCCTGATTATATTCTTCTTTTTATTCCTTTGTATCTCGCTTGAGGAATGCTCGATTGCCCTTTAGGGACATAGGTACCTGTGGGTGTTCACACTCCTGGCTTTACATGAACAGTGAGAGTGAAAAATGTGGTTCTTCTGCACCCAGACAACATTATGATCTCTCTCTGACAACCTCAAATAAAATAATCACTATAAACCATAATCCATAGAAGACATGTGATTTCAACCTAAAGCATAAATAATCTGAATAGCTATTATCATGCTTTCTAGCAGCAAGATTTTAAAATGCAAATTTATAGGCTAGATCTAATCCTAACTAGATCTGCATTTAGTTCACCTAGGACTAACCCAGACCGAATAAATATCTTATTTTTTAAGTATGGAAAACAAGAGGAAACAGACAAAAATACCATTTTGCAGCAGTTTCTTTGTTCATGGTTTCTCCTGTAATGAGGAAATAAAAATCTTCAAGAAGAACTCATTAGTTTCTCTTTCTGTATCTGAACCATCAACAGAGAATATGCACAAACAGTAGTAGCTCATTCAAGTACATTCCTCTAAAACTACTTTTTCATTTCATGGAAGGTATTTTTTCTGCAAGATCTGTCCTATCAGTACCACAGGCAGTACTTTATCATGAGCTATTAAAATTTGTACTCCGGAACTCCTTCCATCAGTTTTACTTGTACAAATACTTCAGAATCTTGTCTGCAGCTACTGCAGAGAACAAGTTCAGCACCATTTTGCGTGGTCACAACTCCCTTCTCATGGGAGTAATCACATGCACCATGTGCTGTACCAACTATAATACTGTTATAAAGTAGTGCAATATTGCTATTATCTTAAAACCGGTAAATATAAAATATTTTCTTTAACTGAAATTGTGAGACTAATTTGTTGTAGGCCACATATAGCTTCTTAACTAGAACACTTCTGCAAAAAGTTATTTTAAGCAATTATCAATTATCAGTAGCTGCTCATGAACTGGACTTTATTTAGATGCTAGAATTAAAAAAAGGTGTAGAAATGGTCTCTACACAAGCACAGGAGAGAGAAGCCCTGTCTTCTGAAAATTAATGGGAATAAGCTAACCTTCCAGGTACTAAAGCCTGTCACTCTCCACCAGCTCTCCCACTTGCAGTCTCATGAATCACCCTGCTTTCCCATTCCCAAGCAGTCAGCTTCGCTGTAGCATCTATGGAAAAGAATTATTACAAAACTTTTTGATTCTTTTGAGCAGTGTTTAAGAGTAGTATATGCTGTATTCTCCCCTTGGAATTATATTTAATGCTTATTTTCTCCCTCTATTTCAGTCCCCTAGTTACTACTATGGACTTAATCAGTGGAAACCAAAAACTCATCATCATGAGGGCCACCAGCAAAGCTGCATGCAACACCTCTGGAAAAAACAAAATCCTGTCTGCATAAACCAGAGTAGCTGAACTCAAAATGTTCTGATGAAATAAAGCAGGAAAAGGTTCAAGAAAGCGGAAGGAACTGATGGATGGAAACAACACAGAGCAAACTCACTGGACACTTTGCCACCAGAGACAAGTGATACATCTGGACAGCCAAGAGTATCAAGTGCAAAAGAAAAACAATGGGAGCACTAAAAGCAACAGAATCAGGATGCTGCTGGAGATTTTAAGATTAGTGATAAGCAAATAGTTTTGGTACTGGTAATTTTATTCCATACTTAGAACTGAAATACTGTTAAACACAGAGGAGATCAAGTGTGCCTGTGTGATGAGTACCTCTGAGGGAGAACAGCAGTGATCTCATTGTACATGAGAAAGGTAAGAATTTCTCATGTCTCCCCTTAACTAAGAAATTACAGACATCACTACTATGCTGACTCATTAATTTATCACATGAAGAGCCCAAGCAGTCTTCTGCTGAAACCCAAAACCCTGAGGAATTATTCTGCCCTGTCCCAATGTGACACACTTTCTCACACAAATCATACCAATACACCTTCCTCATCTCAAAGTACCAGATATTAAAAGCGATTTCTAAAACAAATAAATATGAAACTAAAAATTAAAGAGTACAACCTTTTGCAAAGTGGGCAAACTGAAGTGCCCAACTAACGAGCTATACAGCTAAGAACTTGGTGGGTACCTTGTTTGGTGGATATCCAAACAGGAGAATAAAAAACTTGGGTAGTCAGAGGGAAGAGACAGGTGGAAGACAAAAATAAGGCTAATGTATTTCAAATGGGAAGAATGGAAGATGTAATACTTGTACTGCTTTTCATATAGACATAAAATCATGGTTCATAGAGGGTTACAATATGCATCTTTATCAGTCAAACAGGAATTCAATCTACTTCAGCAGTGCAAAAAGCAAGCAATTCAAGAATTCCTCTAATTAAGGGCATAAAAGGCAGAACGTTTCAAGCTTTAACAATAACTTCTGAAACATCTACACCAACACTAAGTGATAATATTCTGTGAATGTTGGTAGAAATGTGCCTTTGGAGACTCCAAAATCTTACACTCAGAAAGATCTGAGTCTAGCAGCACGAGTACTTTACTAGAGTAAATTTGGTACCTCCTTGACAAGATTCAAGTCTAGTGAGACACTACTGAAATGCCAAGTCAGCCATTCTGCTGTTACCTATGGCTCAGCTGATATCAGCTGTAGTCCCTTACACAGAGGAATTCTCAAACCTCCCTGCTTTTGGAGTTTAGAGACAGTCCTGGAGATGAAAGACAAAGCTTTTAATCTTGTTCCTAACATGACTTACTCATGTCTTGGGAAGCCCTGTAGTTTCCTTCTGTCTTACTCAGTGTAAAAAGAAGGAACAACCAGCCAGTTTGCAAATGCTCTGGTGATAGATTAGAGCCCTTTTTTGTGTACCTCTGTCCTTGCTATTGGCCCAGTTTCCATGCTCCCTGTAATTGCTTCAAAGTTGGTCTAACCCACCAGCTAACTCAAAATGCTCCAAATGCAAGAGACCATGACGCAGGGGCACCCTGACAGCTCCTCAACTCCCATTCTCACTGGCCTGGTGCCCCCCAAACCTGGCATGAGGCTGGCACAAGCACCCACGTACCACCTCTGCCACACAGGAACAGAAACAGGGAAATGGTTCAATTGCACCACTGCTAGAGGCTCTGGCTGTACAGTCCATATACAGAAGCTCCACCAAGGAGCAAATTTCTGCTGTTCCAGCAGCCCACAGCCCTCCCCTACCTTCACAGCACTGCCTTACTGCCTTCAGGCCCTTTTTCCCTCACCTTGCAGCAAGCACTCCTGATTGCCAGCAACACCAGCTCAGACTAGGTTACAAGACTAGAGGCACACGATTTTAGACACATAGCACTGTCCTCTGTATAACCCTCTGTATAACCCTCCAGGGCTGAAATTTATTTTGTGAATCTCAACCAATCGCAAAAAGTATTTCACTTTCGTCAGCAGCATACATGAAGGTATTTCTTCCTCTGAAGTTGCTAATGAAGCCACAAATCTTCCTAATACTGACACATATATATGTAATCCTCTTACTAAAAGTTTAGCCTGATTAATCTCATCCTCTGAATAACATTGTAAAAATAACTTCATTTGGTGTGTGTTTCTGGTACTGTCTGATCTCTTTTGTTTCATCAATTATTGATCAAAACTCAACAGCAGAACAATAAGACATCTATGTAATGACCATCACTTACCATTTGTTACCAGTTCTTTCACATACTACAATATTATTTTAAAAACTCAAAACACTAACAGATAAGAATCTTTCTTATGGTATTATTGTTCCTGAATGTGTATATACTGTAAAACTGTTGTGGATTTTTGTCATTAGCTCTGATGTCAAGAGTCAGTATTTCACAGGCATCATGCTAATGCAAAACACATTAGCCCTGACATGGGCTGCACTCCTGACAAAGTGTTTACTCCACTTCAACCTGCTTGACTGAGTTCTCACCTTTATTTGCTTCTGTTTCTCTGTCTACTTAATGCATTTTCAGCTACCATCATCTCATTTCAAGTAGGATGTTTATTATTTGGAGCTCTCTGTGTGCTGTTTTAGAGTTAGTCGTCTCCTGTTTCTATTACAGAGTTCATTTAATTATAGTATAAAGCCTCTTTTTTTCTTTGTTGACTCATCAGTGGCCCAGTATATCACCTTTAAGAGACTGTCTGAAGAATACAGAATGTTTTACCTATGATAGAAGAGGATATGTCATCTCAATATGTATTTCTTGTTGATGTTGCAAGATATTCCAGGACCAGTTCCAGACAATCCTGAAGACTTGTGATTGACAGTAACTACAATTTTGTGCAGACACTCTTAGAACTCCAAAACTTCCTATAGACAACACCCAGTTTAAGACCAGATAATATTTACAACTTAATCAATAAGTATAAACAAACAAAAGAACACTCTGTTGTTTCCAAATGAACAACACACTATCACTAGGTAAGGCTCATAAAACAGAGCACTGAGATAATGTGTCAAGATCATAATTTCAAGAAAGGAACAGAAAAACCCAAGGCATGATATATGATGCCACAGCATGCTAAAGTTTAAATAAAAATGGGAAGAGGTAGGGCATGGCTAACTTGGTAAAAAAATTTAAAGCTACTGATGGCAGTGCAGATCATTGAACCATAGAATACTCTGGGTTGCAAGATTCCTTAAATATCATCTAGTTCCAGCCAGGAGAGCAGGAATCTAAGATCTGTAAACTCTGGAGTGAAAGATATTTTCTGTACCAAGCACAACCCCTTGCTCTCTCAAGTTATCTCACCACAGAATCCTGCTAAGAAGTCATTTTCCTTGTTCTTACAACAAAAGTTTTATAGTCACATTTTTCACAGTGGAAAGTTTTTCAGATCTTTGATTTTCTGCTTAAGAAGATGCTTGTAATTTCCTGTTCTTTTATTTACTTATGTATTT